CAAACACTTCCCAGCTTACTCCAAAGCTTCCACCATAAGTGTGAATCACCTTCTGCATCTACAAAAGATTTTCTCTGAAACAAACAGCCTTGTAGCTTCATGTTCACTGATAATCCACCAACTGTAGACTCTCATAACAACCAGAACTGATAGCTACACACACAGAGACAAACCCGCAAAAAGAAATCATTTTCAACACTCAACTAGAAAACCCACTGAAATTTTTTTGCTTCATAATCTTTCTACAACACCTTTTAAACTGACCCAAGAGCACCCTTACTGATACTCATACAGCCATAAAACACCCACAAAATTCAAGGTTCTAAGGCATCCCCTAGTTCCATGAATCTTATGAGTTACCGGGCTGGAAACAAGATAACTAGAACACCGCCTGCAACTGACTTTTCCAAACTGATTCAACCTGAAGATACCCTGAAAACCATCACTGAATCTTGGCCAAACCCTTGTAAAACCAGTATATAACCCTTGTGTTCCAACAAGTTTCCATTTTTAATAAATCTGCAGAACTTGAGCAAAACCTGAAACTTCAATACAGAATATCACAAACACCTTGTGACTGCAGCGGAATCAGACTTTAAGTCTCCCATAACTTGAGTCTTGAAGTTGATGTTTCAATTCTGATACAGAACCTTGAGTCACAGAACTTGTACTCAATCTTTTCATAATCAAACCTAGTTGATACTTGTAACCTTCAGCTAACACCAACAAATAACCGACTTCTTCAGCACTGATAAAGAACACCATCTTTGATTAAATGCTTCTTGCTTCATCTCTGAACTTTTCAAACTTTTGTTTGCAACACTTCAACTTGTGAGTAATCTGAAATCCTTCTCACTATGTTGCAGATTCTTGTATCTTAGAGGCAACCCGATTTCATAAACTTGAAATCTTCACTTGATTTAGACTTCTACCATGAATCCTTGATACAGCTTGTTCACATCTCTCTTTCACAATCAGTTATATACCATAACCATAGCTAACCACGTTTTCAACTACTTAAGCATCCCAAGAACCCTCTGTTACTCCACCTAAGATCTAGCTAGATCTTACATGTAACAAAACAAGATCTTACCAAATTGTCTCTGAATGTGTTTCAGAATCTGCCTCAGAGACTGCTTCAGATTTAACCTTATTGTTCTTGAGTAACCTGCTTCAGTATTAACCCGAATGAGTCTAACAACTCATTTCTTTCACGTGTTATTCACCAAGAGATAGCTTAAGACAGTCTTGTCTCCACAATCTTCTTCATCAGAGAAACACAATGATGCTCCACCAAGAAAGAGTCTTATGACTTTTCCTCTCTTCTGCACCATTTACCAAGAGCTTCTGGTTTGTTCTTCAACCTGAGACGTAGCTTGTCTCTCCATAACCAACCAAGCTCTTCAAAGAAAATGACCATGGATGCTTAAGAAAG